AATAAGTTAACTTAACTTATGTTTATAAAAACAGAAACTCAAAAAAAAATAACAACATATGTTTGTCTAAAATATATATATATATATATATATATTATAAATTTTAGATTTGTTAAACAAATTTTAGTAAAACTCTATTAGTTTATGATTTTAAATAACTATTACATGTAATACAAATAAAATTGGTAACTTAGGGGACGTTTACAAAATACTTATCCAGTAAGTGATTACCAATAAAATTTAACATTATTATTTACTTACTGGGCAAGATTTTAGTCCACCGAAACGACATCGCATGCAACAATTTACTCGGTAAGTGCTTACCGTGGTAAGAGTTGTCGTCCTCACTTACCGAGTAAGACTCTTTGTCTTTGTCTCGCTCTTTTCCAGGTATGATTTTTGGTCCTTATTATATTCATCCGGTGAGATAATGTGACTTGGTAAGCGCTTACCCGGGTAAGCGTTTGATAAACGATCCCTTAAATAAACATTTTTAGAATTGTTATATTTGGTTTTTGATGGGTAAATTACTCAATAATAACTAAAAATTATAATGTAAATTAATTGATATGATTGATAATAATTGTAAATGATTAATATTAATGTATAATTTATAATTAAAATTAATTAACGTTTAATTTTCAATTTATATTTATTAATATGAGTAATATTTAAATTTTACTAATGTTTTTTTTACAATTATTAGTAATAAATAATAATTAATATTAATAAGGGTTATAACTAGAAGAAAAAAATGACAATAAACTGTCAAAACGCTACTCCAAGCAACTTTTCAATAAGTTAGCTTACGTGTATCCAAACGTATACCAAAAAATAAGTTAGCATATTTTTGCCAAATAATGCTTATATAGTTTTAAAAATATGTAATTATTATACTTTTTAATACAAATCAATATTGTAATAACTAATTTAATGAACAACAATGAATTATAGTTGCGAAATCAAACATTCTTACCGAGACGCTCCACGTTTCTTTTGTTTTATTTTTACCAAATTTTGTCACATATCTAAACAATATGTTGACGGGAACTTTTTCCCACTCAGTTGGGACAAAAAAGTGGTGGCGCATGCAACCGTCGATAAGAGGTTTTACTAACGGAAAAAACCCTTCACCAATGGATCTCATCACTAAAGAAAGTGTGGCGGTGATTATGATGACTAGCGGATTTTTAATCACCAACGGAAAAATCCATCTGTAATCCGATGGTGATGGTCCATCCGCGAGTGATCCAACACAAATCCTTCGGTGATGGTGAGTGGAAAATTCGTCGGTTCAAGCCTCTTAATTTGTATAATTACTATTAATAATCATAATTATTAAGGTAGAATTAGGTTAAATTGACAATTATTTTTAGGACAAATAGGTTAACACTTGATTTTTGGGACTGATGGAGTATTTATTGTGGTGTCTGTTTGGAAATTAGTCATCTTCCTGGTCATTAGGGATGCTCATGGGTTGGGTTGATCGGGTTGAAGACATTTGAACAACCTAACCCAATGCTTGCGGTTTGAAAAAATCTTAACCCAACCCGTGCGGGTTGGTCGGGTTGATACTTTGGTATATTAAAATATTATTCTAACCTTGAATATGTTATTTCTCTACTCATAATTTCTTTTTCATCATCAACCATTTGATACAACATATCCATATTTTTTTCGTATATCACATTCAGTTAATTTTCTCAATTTACATATATATGTTCACAGTTACTGAACATATATATGAATGAGTTATATATAGATATGAATAGATTGAAAATATGTGTATATGAAAAACATACATGATAGTGTAATTGTCTAATGTATATATTAATAGAAATTCAACAATCATATTAAATCCAAAAAATAAAAGGATATCGGGTTGGGTTGGGTTGGGTTCAAATAATAGTAACCTCATATCAACCAAATACCTACGGTTTACGACTCGGTTAAACATCAGGTTGCTTCGGATTGAATTATTTTGCATTGCGTTTGATCAGGTTGGTCGGGTTTTTGAACACCCATACCGCTCATATTTCATGGTGTGATGAGTCATAACATTCGAGCGAATGCATTGTTGGGATTGATACCAACTAATGACCGTGTGGGACGTGACTTAAGATCGTCGTCATGGTCTACAAAGTGTGATTGTCCCTTTGACCATACATTTATGAACATAATCATAATTAAATATACGAAAAATTAATTGGCACGTTTTTGGAAGCAACAGAGAAGAAACTCCGTTCACCAAGACCCAACAGGAATTTGCTTTTACACGTGCAGCGGTTTGATAAACAATATTAATCAACTCCTTTGGTTACACTATAAACACCAGCCAATTCCTTCTCTTTGTCATTTGACAAAAACAAGTAAGAATTTAGGAACAAGAAAGAAAATCATCCTTCTTTGAAAGGTACGTAGTTAAATCCTTCTCCCATCTCATTAGTGTCACTAATTAAAACCACTGATTTTCTTCATGATATATATATATATATATATAGCCTCTCAAGATCCATGAAATTCAATCGTCTTCTAGAACCCCTCATAGCTAGATCTGGGTGTTTCTTGAATTTCTAAGAGCTTCATACATAGTTCTTGATTTCATCAGTAAGTTGAAGTTCTTTTGTGTTGGATTTGATGAAGCCTGCCTACATACTTGCAGTTTCAGTTAGCCCTGGAGTTGAACAAATTTAGCTCTCAAACAGTAATGGATGTTTCATCGGCATGGTTATCTGCAGAACTGGTAAGCATACATACATATATATATAGTCTTGATTTATATATTTTAATTAATGGGTTTTGGATCTATATTGTAGGAAATGGAAGATCAAGGGTTCATGAATTATGATCAGATGAGCAAACTGTACGGCCCTATTGATGACATCAGTGCTGATTCATTCTCTTCGGGAAGTTATACAGAAAACATGTCATTTCTTGATCAATCTTTTCAGACGCAACAGCCCCAAATCGAACTGCCTAGCTATCAAGAGAAGAGTAGTACTGGTATTAGCAAATGTTCTCCTACTCCAGCTCCAACTCCATCTCCAACTCCAGATCCCCTTGTTCCTACTACTCTTCCCTCATCCAACACTTTCACTATATCTTTTGGAGATCTAGATCCTAAAAATGAGATCCTCCAGTTTCGTGATTCGCTTGCTGGTACCACAAAGGTTCCAACCATGGCTAGGAATCCGGTTCAGGCACAAGATCATGTGTTGGCAGAGAGGAAGAGGAGAGAAAAGTTGAATCGACACTTCATTTCTTTGTCTGCCCTGCTTCCTAATCTTAAGAAGGTACTAAGCAATTTCTTCGGCTGATCACTTAAAACTGTGCATTGCACTAATTAGTTACTGTTAAACACTTTGTTTTTGACAAAATCAAGTAAATAACTTGTAGATGGACAAGGCAACTGTGTTGGAAGATGCATCTAATTACATAAAAGAACTGCAAGGTCGTTTAAAGGAACTCGAGGGATCACCCGGCAACATTAAGAAAAAGAATGTTCAAGAATCGACTGTTATTTCTATTAAGAGATCCAGGCTTAGTTCTAGTGATGATGAATACTCTTCGTCCGATGAAATGAACTCCGGAGAGAGTACTAATCCTTTCAAGTCATCTCCTGAGATCGAGGTGCGGATGTCAGGAACCAGTGTGCTGGTAAGAATTCAGTGCCAGAAAAGCTTTTCTTCCATGGTGAAAGCATTAAACCAGATGCAGAAGCTTGGGATGTCCATCATCAGTAGCAGTGCCATGCCTTTTGCAAAGACCACTCTTCTTATCACCATTGTTGCTCAGGTACATATCTTCTGTAACCCTAATATGATGCCATGAACAACTTAGTCCCCACCTTTTGTAGTTTCTTCCATAATTATATAATTCATATCAACATATCTGAGCTATATATTACAGTGACTCCATGTGAGGAAAGTTCTACCTAAAATTTGAAATTATAATACGTTTGATCAATCACTCTTTTACTTGCTCGAGTTTTCGTACCCGTCGAATCATATTTGTATCAACCTCTAAACGTGTGGGTCGATCTTTTTTCTCTTATTTGTGCAGACTGAGGATGACTTCTGTATGACAACATCAGAACTAGTCAAGAACCTTCAACTAGCTATATGAACATTCATGAAGATGTGCAACTACAAGTCAAGATTTCCATCTACTTGAAGATCGTAGATTAATCGGTTTTTGTTTTCCATTTTATACTTCAGAAGGAGGAAGTTGAGAACATTCTCACATCCCCATCAATGGGGTTTTTCAAGTACTCCTGAAGAAGCATAAGTATATAGCAGCCCGATCTGTGCTACCTTTTTTGTGATTCGTTTCCTCCCCGTCGTCGTGTTGATAGATGGAAGGTTTCAGTTTTCCACAATGGGTTTTTGTTAGCTTTTTGCGTCGTTATGTTTAACCACGTTCATTAATTCACCCTTGTGATTAATTATATATGAAACCATCATTTTTTGTCTCCTTGTTTTACTTGTATTTGATGCTCTACGTTTCTGGTGGGGGTTGAAGATTTGCACAAGATTTCACACTGTTTCTTATTACCTTTACTTAACAAATTAAGTACAGATGGACGGCATTACTTATATGCAAATTAAGATCGTGACATCGTGTTAATTTGTTGATCTATCATCATCATCTCTCTCTCTCTCGCTCTATATATATATATATATATATATATACACACACACACATATATTAATCAAATTCATGAGTCCCACATTCCATATAGTTTACTTTAATCACATTCACCAGGTTTGTTGGAGATGATTAAGAACAGCTCACTATTTTTGTCTGCGAAATTTAGCATACTGTCTGCCCCCACATGGATGTATTGTTTACTTGATATGCGATCCAGCTAGTTTTTGGTGCTACCACTGGTGCTCTAGGCGACCATCTTAATAATAAGACCGTAAACCATATA